CCGATCGATAAAGCTACAGGACCTGGTCCTGCACAAAATCGAGGTCAGCCACCCAACCCAAGTAAGGGGGAAACTAGCCCCGAAGTGGGAGGGACCCTATCGGGTCGTCGGAGTATCCCGACCGGGAACGTTCCGACTCGCAACAATGGATGGCAACCCCGTGCCCAGGACTTGGAACATACAGAACCTTAGGAAATACTTCGTCTAGAGATATGGGCACCACGAAAGCACAGAAATCGGAGGAAAAGATCATTTTATTTAAGAAAGGGGGTACAGAACAGTAACCATGAAACGGGAACCAAACTCAAAACCCTTCACACCCTTAACCCCGACCCCGACATAGAAAAACCAAACTCATCCCTCTCCTAGAGTCTTCGGGCGGTCGTCGAATGGCACGTCCTCCGGCATGTCCACCTCCTGATCCACGGGATGAGAGGCAAACGGATCTCTCTCCACCTCAGAGCCGGGAGGGCATGAGCCAAAGCGACCTAGGGCGATTCTGTATCCGTACTCGTAGGATACTCGCCCCATTCGGATCAGTCCGAGCTCGAAGTTCTCGGACTTCTTATAAGCTTCGATCGCCTCCATATCCTTCGACGGGCGAAGGCGAATCTCCTCGGCAAGCGCATCGGCAGCGGCGTGGGCCTCAGCCTCGGCCTTCTCCGCCCTCTCGGTAAGGCCGAGCACCTCCGACTTCAATAGGCGAAGCTCGGCCCGATCCACACGAAGAAACTCTTGCAGTTCCTTGACCGAGTCACCCGACTGTTCGAGCTCCGCCTTCAAACGCGCCACTTCCTCCTCGGACTCCGTTGCGCGCTTCTCCGCGGTCGCCACCGCCTCTGGGCCCGACCCGGCCCGAACTTCCTCTAGCTGACGGCACAACCCGGAGTTGCACTCGCTGAGGTTCCAGATTACCTGGCCAGCGTCGCGCACGCGGTCCATCAGCGTCGTCGAGTAGTGGAGGCCCTGCCGCAGAAAAAAGGGGGGTCAGCACACGGTCACGAGGACACCCGGAGTTGACAAAACACTTACCAGTTTCAGAAACCGCCCTGCCTTGCTAAGCATGGCCTCCGAGGGCAGGGTGTACAGGTCCCGAGCCAGGTCGGGGTGGAGCATTCCTCGGAGAAAGGCGGCCGAGGGATCTCCCCCGGCCCACACTTTGTCCCCTCGGGACAGCCCCTTCCAGCGGGCGACTAGCGGGTCGGAAGCCTCCCCCGGTGGAAGCTCGCCCATCACCAGCAACCATAGGGGCTCGTCGGCCCCCGTGCGTAGCCCGCACAGGTCATCCACCGTAGGCAAGCTCGACCTCTTCCCGGCCGCCCCTTGGCGAGGCACATCCTCTCGGCGTCCCGAACGGTCCGCTTCGCGCCAACGGTTGTCGAAGGGGTGGCCCCCGCCTTGGCTTTCCCGGTACCAGCTGTTTTCGCCCTTTTTGACGGGCGCCCCTCCGGAACCTCTAAGGGAGCATCCGCCGAGCCGGGCAACGGGTCGGCTGAGGGGCGCGAAGGGAATGCAGCGGGCGAACGTGGGGAAGAGGCCGACGATGAGCGACCACCGCGGAGTGACAGAAGCTTCATTCCTACAAAGGAAACGAACAAACCATCACAAACTGTGTAAACATACAAGACGCGAAGAACACCCGCTATAAACATACCCCCGAAAGCCGGACTGAGACCCGCCTCGGCCAGCCACTCCTCGGTCATAGCTCGGAGGGCCTGAGAACCAGGAAGGACTGCCCGAAGCTTCTTCAGGTCCCGACGCTCCTCGCCATTCAAGTCCGGGACGGTGTTATCTATCGCCCTCACCGCCCACCGAACTCCGAAGCCCCAATCCTTCGACCAGCTAACGTAGAAAAACCGCCCCTTCCACCCTTTGTTGCTCGAAGGGGCTCCCCCGACGCGAAAGCCGGCCCGGGCTGACACGAAATAGCCCCCCGGCCTCTTGAGAAGGCGAAAACAAGAGAGGAAGAGGTTTCGCGTAGGGGTGATGTTAGCATAGTAACATTCCCCTAAGAACGCTACTAGGTAGCGCCATGAGTTAGGCGCCACCTGGGAAGGCGAAATCCTCCACAAAGAAAGACAGGAAACAATAATAGGGTGAAGGGGAAGGCGCAGCCCGGCCTCTAGGGCATCTTGGGTCAGCGCGAAACCGCGAGGGATCGGGTCGTATGACCGCTGCCCCGGATCAGGGGCAACCAGGACAAAATCCTCCGGGATGTAATAACGCTCCCGGAGCTTTTCCAGCGACGACCCGCTCACCACCGAGTCGAGGTCGTGCGGCCACATTAGAGCCTCAAGGGCTCGCACCGCCTCCTCGTCTGGGGAAGACGGAGGCATGCTCTCCCGGACTCTGTCGAGGGACGAAGGTGAAGAGACAGGTGAGAAGGACATCCTTACCGGCTTTTGGAACGAACAAGAGAGACGACGAGGGAGCGACTGTGGGATGGTGGCGTAGGAGAGGAGAAGGTGCGATGGCAGAAAGAAACGACGAGGTCCAAGACTCAGCAGCAAAAATCATAAAACGGGCAGAGTACGCCATTCATGTAAGAAAAATCCCGCCGAAAGAGACGTCCCTTCGTCTCCCCCTAGCGGCCGACAGCTCATCCGCACACCCACTCGCATCAGGGAAGACCAACGAACACCCCATCATAAATGCGGACCCAAAGCCGCTGCAGGAAACGACGTGGAGAACGGCCACTGCGACTTCTCAACGCCTAAAAAGAACGACGATCTTGCCGCATGTTTCCCGAGACCACCTCCTCGGCGCGGCCAGCCCGCCCGAGACGTGCTCCTCGGCCGCATGTTTCCCGAGACCACGTCCTCGGCGCGGCCAGCCCGCCCGAGACGTGCTCCTCGGCCGCATGTTTCCCGAGACCACCTCCTCGGCGCGGCCAGCCCGTCCGAGACGTGCTCCTCGGCCGCATGTTCCCCGAGACCACCTCCTCGGCGCGGCCAGCCCGCCCGAGACGTGCTCCTCGGCCGCATGTTTCCCGAGACCACCTCCTCGGCGCGGCCAGCCCGTCCGAGACGTGCTCCTCGGCCGCATGTTTCCCGAGACCACCTCCTCGGCGCGGCCAGCCCGCCCGAGACGTGCTCCTCGGCCGCATGCTTCCCGAGACCACCTCCTCGGCACGGCCAGCCCGCCCGAGACGTGCTCCTCGGCCGCATGTTTCCCGAGACCACCTCCTCGGCGCGGCCAGCCCGCCCGAGACGTGCT